CAAAAGGATTATCTTGAGAAAACAATTAACACCCTCAAGAAGGTGTCACCAGCAAAAATTAAAGGGGGATGGGGGAAATATCTGAATATCCCATAGAAGCCTGCCACAACACTTTTTGTGCTTAAGAACCTGTGGTTAAGAATACTATACATTTAAAAAAAAAAAGAAATTCCACATTTTCTTCTAGACACAAACTTTGTAAACCTGGGTGACTCTAGATATATAGAAGTCAGCTTCCAGAATTCTAAAAATGGCCATGTTGGCTGGAGAATGCTAGAGGTTAAAGTCCCACATATGTGGAGGACATCTAGGTTGGGGAAGGTTGTTTAGTGTGCAAAGTATTATGGAAGAAGTTAAAATGGGTAAATAAGAAAAAAGAAACTCACTTCTATTCTGGCAAGTTCACGGAGACGTCGTGGCAAACGTTTAATATTGTGACTCATAGCTCGCCTCCTCATATGTCTAGGCAAGGACTGAAACACTAAAGTATTGGAAGACTTCTGTGTAACAGCCTTCAGCATAGCCTTAATTTCAGCAGCTCGAGCTTGCACAAAAGGAGACACTAGAAAAGGAAATCTTGTTTAAAAAATCCAAAGATGCTTAGAGATGGTGTTCTCTATTCTGAAGCAGTAACATTTGAAGAAAATCTTTTTCATCGTTTTAGAGTTCCATACAACTGAATATATAAAAGTACAGAAAACCCACTTGCATAGGGATGGAGATATCAGAAATATAGCTGGCAGGCCTATTTCTTTCATGAATAAGCTTAATGGTAATTCTATTGCAATTTTAAATTATGTTGACATAAAAATGCATAACCATTATATGAAATGATTTTCCCAAGAAAAGAGATCCTCTGATTTGCCTATTCCCCCACTCCCTGCTACTTCTCTAACAAAGCTATAAGGCGTTCCCAAATGTTTGCTTTTAATTATCTACAGTTTAGCAACATTAATTTAAGCAGCTGTTAAATCAAAGCCTACTATGTTTTGCTAAAACCACTGCTATTTGCATAACCCAAGCTTTAACTGCAGCTTACTGCAGAATCTAGAATTCAGAAAACTGCTTTGCTTGATCAAAACTGGAAACAAAAGCTTCCAGTTCTTTTTCTTGTGGCCATTGTGAAGATGATAAGATATGTGAGCTCAAGGCTTGCTCTGGATAATTTTACAGTTCAGCACAAAAGAAGGCCTACAGAAAAAGCACAGCAGGGATCGGAGACAAAATGTACAGAAAAGTCTAAGATCAGTTCAAACCAGATTAAAAGTGACTGTTCTGGTATACTTTATAACATCTACATTTCACAGATGGCCAGCTATTCTTGGATACTCACCTGTTATGCATTTAGGCATTTCATGGGAAGCTTTTTGATAGAAGCTCTGTTGTGAGGTTTCAAAATGCAAATCTGTTGATAAGTCAGGAAAAAGTTTTATATTATAAAATAAAATGATTGAAATGTAAGCAGAGCGCATACTAATATAACAAAAGAAATCATTTAGCAGCAAATGTCTATTTGATAAATTAGGTATATAAAAATTAAATCCTGTCATTCTCTAAAAAAGAGTTTGAAATTATTTATACTTCAGTGTGTTGTTACACTGCAGAATATATCTGTATGGCAGTACCCTTTACAGATAGTCAGCACTGATCAAAGAGATTATGTAAACCATATTCATACCAAGAATAACTATTAGGCCCAGCTATGGTATAGTAACTATTAGAGCCAGTGTGGCGTAGTGGTTAAGGCGTCAGTCTAAAAACCGGGAGACCATAAGTTCTAGTCTAGCAGGCAGGCAGGCAGGCAGGCAGGCACCTAGCTGACCCTGACTGATCTAAAAAGCTAAGCAGGGTTGGACTGGATAAGTATAGGTAGTCCTCAGTTTAAGAACAAGTTCCGTTCCCAAGGTCTGTCCTTAAGTCAAATTTGTATGTAAGCTGGAACAGTATTATTGTATACAGGTAGTCCTCGCTTAACGACCATTCATTTAGAAACCATTTGAAGTTATGATGGTGCTAAAAAGCTACTTACAACTGGTCCTTGTAATTATGACATCGCAGCACCCCCCCGCAGTCACATGATAGCGATCTGTGTGCTTGACAACCAGCTCACACTTACAATGTTTTCAGTGTCCCGTGGTCACATGATTGCCATTTGCAACCTTCCCAGCCAACTTTTGGCAAGCAAAATCAATTGGGGAACTGCATGATTTGCTTAATGATCATGATTCACTTAGCGACCACAGTGATTCACTTAACTGCTGCAAAAATGTCATAAAACTGGGTGCAGTCACGTGATGCCTCGCTTAACAACCGTCCTGCTTAAGGACAAATTGTCCAGTCCCTATTGTGGTAGTTAAGCAAGGACTACCTGTAATACTGTATAAGCAGTATTGTGTATTTAACTTGGATCATTGTATGTTTAACTCAAATTTTTCTACAATAGGCTCTGTTCTTAATTATGGGTTGTCCTTAAACCAGGCATTCTTAACCTGGAAACTACCTGTACTTGGATGGGAGTCCACTAAAGCATTCTAAGGCTGAAAACTAGACTGAGAACTGAAAAAATATCCTGGAAGAAGACAGTGGCAAATCACTAGAGTTCTAGTCCTCCCTTAGGCCCAGAAGCTGGCTGGGTGACTTTGGGCCAGTCATTGTCTCTCAGCCCAGCCCAGCTCATAGGGTTCCTGTTGTGGGAAAACAGGAAGCAGGAGCATTATGCATGCCACCTTGAATTGTCCAAAATAAAGGTGGAATATAAATCAAATCAAATGAATCAATCAATAAAACTGCCAGGAAACCTGCATATACTTGGGAAAACCACCATTTGTTCTTACAGTTTTAAAAATAACTTGAAAATGGAAAGGTAATACAAAGTGGTGATGCTTTGGTCTTCATGTTCTTCTACAAGGATTCTAGGGCTATAAGCTGGACTGTGAAGTTGAAAAACATGCTCCAAGAAAGCAATGGCAAGCAACTTCTATACTGTGGTCAAAAAGCAGCCATGTAATCAAGATGTGTTTGAAGTAGGCTTTAATACTTTAATTACTTTAGATGCTTTAACCTAAACTCTCATTACTGTCATCCACAACTGTAGGGAATGATGAGAACTGAAGTCTTAAAAAAAAAAACAGGGTTAGGAAAGGCTGTTCCAGAAATTCTGGAGCTTTAGTTCATTAATTAATCACAATGAATGTTTCCATGCTAGTAGATTGGGGACTCTCTAAATAACAGCTTAGCTCCTGGTGACTTCATGGACAACACATCCATGCCATTTTCTTGGCAGAATATGGAAATGGTTTGCTTTTGTATAGTTTTTCAACTTTCCAGTTTAGCCTATAGCTATAATATTATTATTAGCATTCCCTAATAATAATATTTCCTAATGACCACCAGCAGACTTCTTGACAAACATCTTAGATTTATTTTAAGAAATCCAACACTGTTCAAAGATTTAGCTAGTAAACCTAATAGATACCTTGTTTTTTCCGCTGAGGAGTTCTGTCACCTCCCTTCCAAAAATATGCTTCATTGTGACTTGGCCCACCATCAAAGGGATAGGTCACACTAGCAGGTTGATTTTTCATTTTCTTGCCCCTCCTTTTCTCTTTTGCATTTGACATTTCTGCAGTAGAAATGATTGCATAATAAAAGCTGTTATTGTCAGTGGTTTAAACACACACAGTGGAAGCCATAACACATGTGCAATGGTTTAGAGTTGTCCATTATATACATTTTTTCCAACAGATTCTTTACTGAAAGAGCAACCTGAAAAAATACTACAGAATTAAGATTAACAGTAACAACCCACCCCCAAAATTGAATGGCCCTGTAATACTAACGCACGAACATAAAAAATAAATACGATTCATAAGCACATATAATACATTCATAAAGTGCAGACGTTGCTTCCTTCTCACATCTCTGGAAGCATTTAGAAACACTTATACAAAAATATATTTTTTAAAAAATGAGCTGCAGTGAATGGTCTCTCTTACATTTATGTGTATCACTGTCAAGCTGCAGGGAAATATGTCAGCATCTGTCTTAGTAATGCCACGCAAATGCTGTAAAAAGCTGCTGCTAGACCTCTGCTGCTTTGGCACATTTAAAATTTTATTTATTTATTTATTTATATTTCAAATCTGTCACCGCCCATTTCACTGCAGAGCGACTCTGGGCGGTTTTGCCTAATCACCAGAACTGATGCTGATGAGCGGGGAGCGCACCATCCTTTCACCAGCATTAAGTCTCCGCAGCATCCTTGCCTACCGAACAGAGCACCAGCAGGATTCTAATGAAGGCATTTTCTACCACCCAAAACAGTCAGAAACCCGGAAGAAAATGGAGTCGCCCCAACGAAAATGATGCACAGGCTGTGTCACCCACTGGAAGCTGGGCATCAATTCATGAACGGAGCCGAGCACTAAAAACCGCTACTGTACCCGGCAATTCAGAGGAAAAGGGCAACGCGCCTCCCAGCCACACAGCGTCTTTCAGCTGGTGAAAAGCGGCCAACCCTCCATTCCTCCCGCTGCAGCGCCATCCTCCCCTTTACCCTGCTCTCCCCTCTCCCTTAACTGCGCCCTCGGGCACTCCCTTCCCCGCGGCCCCTGGGCACCCTACCCTCTCGCCAATCCGGGCGCCCGAGGCTCGTCCTCCCGCCGCGTCCTCCTCGCACGAGGCTTCCAGCTCGGCCGAAAGAAGGCGGGGCGCTTCCCTCGCGGGATCCGCTTCCCTCCTTCCACCAATCGCGTGGCAGCCGCTTCCCCCGAAAGGAGCAGCCTTCGCGACTCGCTCCTGCGCCCTCTCCGACTTGGGAGACCACATCCCCCAGAATCCTTCGCAGCACCTACGGTGGGCGGAGAAGGCCCTAACAATGGCTCTTGGGAAAAACCGCGCGCGCTTTTCGGAACGCTCGGCCGAGGGGGCGGCGGCGCGTTCAAGCAGCTGAGCGAGAGGCGGGGAGGCGGTGCCGAGGGAGCCGGGGCGGGGCTGAGTTTCGGAGCGGGTAAAGTTCAGGAGCCCGGAGGTAGCGGCTTTGTGGGCTCGGTGGCTGCTGCGGAGGAAGAGGCTGTTCTCGCTGCTTCTGCCGCTATGGCTGCGTTAGTGAAGAAGATCATTTGTACTGCAAAGGCTCCCGCTGCGATGGGTCCCTACAGGTGAGGGGGGCGGGAAAAAGTGCTTCTTGGCGCAGCTTAACCTGTGGAACTCGCTGCCACCAGATGTGACCCCTGCCCAATTGGTTCCTCCTGGGTCGGTTCCAGCGGGGAGAAGAAGGATAACTGCGCCTTCTCCCCGGGGAGGGATTTCAGATGGGCTGAAGTTTCTTCCTCAACATGGGAAAGAAAGCGAACGTGTTGTGGTCTAACCTGATTTGGCCGCTCTGGCTGCTTTGCTGAAATGCAACAGTGAAAGGCATTTAAAAGTAGCCCTAAAACAAGTGCCCCGATGCATGTGCTCAAAGGCATTATGGCGTCTGAAATATGTCCAGATTTAATATGGCATGAAAGTAGGAATAGGAATGGGTTTGTTGTGGCATAGGTGCAAAGCATATGAGCAATGTGTAGAGTGCCAATTAAACATACATCTAATGAACAATGCTTACAAAAGCCCCTTCAAGGCTTCCCAGGAGTCTGTTTTCTGTTTGCTCTGAGGGGCAATGCCTAATTGTTTGGGGTAAGATCCCCTGGACTCAATGAAACTTACTTCTGAATAGATATCTGTACCCTTGCACTTATTTTGAGCACATCACCACTAAGACTGCAGTCTTTATCTGAGAAAAGTAGGACTGAATCTAGTAAATTTTGCTTTTGAGCAGATGGAATGCTCTATCAGTGTTGCTAGGAATGCCACAAAAATAGTAAATCTAGTCAAATTTTAAATTGTGGTATATTTTCCCTACAACCTGACTGTGGCACTTCTCATTTCTTAAGGTCTCTCTGCTGACCAGGTATGAGGACTGAGATTACTTATTTAGGGTTTTGGAGTGTCTTGTTTTGGAAGCTTTGCTGCATTTTTGTTGCTCTTGTTATATTGTTAAATCAAGGGAATTAAACTCTTATTAATCTGGGTCACAATATTAGAAGAAATGTATAACCTGGAATTGATTTTTCTTACATTTACTTTTTCATTATCTCTCACTTTGTATTTTTTACAAAATAATCCTTGAGTTGCTCAACTGACATAGTTAATGAGTAAAGTTAAGGATTGCTATTCCTGTTTGCTTGAATTCAGATTCCTCAAGGTTTTTTTTTTGCATGTGTGCAAATTAAAATTTGTAAAAAAGTACCTATCTTCTCAGGAGGGCATAAGAAAATCCTGTTTGGTTTCAAAGAGTATACCTTTTTATGTTTATGTTTAGTAAAAATATCCTAATACTATACTTACTTATATTTTTTAGGCCTTGTTCCCCAAATCAATGTATTGTTGCTGCCTCAGCTATGAACTATATAGGAAGCTCAATGTATGCTTAGTTCAAAGGAAATCTTTAATACACTTCATATTAAAAAAAAATAGAACTCTGATTAGCAATATCCTCTTTTATGCAAAAATAAAGATTTGCGTAGCAGCAGTGATTGAGGCTAAATGCTCGGAGAGTGACTGCCAGTTGGAGAACACAGGCAACTCAGATTGGTAGGAAGCAGCTTTGCAAATTCACTGTGCTCACCTTTAACCGAAGTATTTCACTGGGATTCACTTTACTCTTCTCTGCGCTAGGATGACTACTGTGTAAAGACACTTGGACAGAAATCATAATTAGTTTCTATCAACATGAATCAGCTATAATTATAAATGCTAGTCTTTAACAGTAAATATAGATATAGGCATAGCCTTTTGCTACTTTTATGACTTCCACTGTTTTTAGTTGAGGCTAAAATATTGTAAATATTTGTTCAAGTAACTAATAAAAAAATGCATGTTCATAGCATTTTCCACCTGTTGCAACATCTTAGTCGGGACAGCCAGTCTGGCTGTCATCCCAAATTCTTTTTTTCTGGTCAAGGATGTCCAAATTCATGCTTTGTTTCTTCATTTCTTACTTTTCCAGTAAGGATGTGGTGAATTTTAATTAGTATTGCAAAGTTAATTGAAATTGTAGAATGGAAGATATTGTGAATGACTAAATTGTAATTGGCTCACTGAATAAAAGGACTAGCTTGCTGTTGTTGCACTTTTCAGTCATTCATACAGACGCCATCTAGACTCCAAAAAGCTAATTAGTGTAAAATATAAGGGATAAAAAACAGCAAATCTTTTCTCATGGCACAGCCTTTAGGAAGAGGGATGGGATTTCTAATTTGTTGGAAGTTTCCTGTGTTGCAGAAACTTTTTTCTTGCCAACAATATATGGACATCGTAGCAAGAGAACCATATTAGTCTATCGTAACAAAAAATCCGAAGTCTGGTAGCATCCTTTCCAAATAACAGTTTTTATTCATTGTAATTAATTTATTAAATTGTTATGAGCTGCAGCTCACTTCATCAGATGTGAAGTATAGTATAAAATTGGGCAACAAGGGTCCTGAAGGATGCTCTGAATTCCAGCCTCAGGAAGTTCTTACCAACATAGTGTGAGGTGATGGGGGTTTCAGTTAAGCTGTCCTGATTCAGTAGGACATGAGCTATAGGAGGGAAACACAAAAACGATGCATTTTTCAGTGAGGCCACAGTCAATTTACAGCTAAGGAAAACTGAAGAAGGCATATTGGTTGGCGCATCTGGAAGTAGAAGTGATTGGAATAGGAACATTCCACACTGTCACGTTTTGTTGAAGGTCTCATTTGTAGGAATAGGACAAGAGAAATGATGATAATATTAATTAATATTAATATTAATGTTTCAGAAAAACAAAAAAAATGTGTTGAATGTTATTAGAGGATAAACCCACTCCCATGAATTCATTAATGAAAGAAATTTGAATCTTTTCCTGTACAAAATTAGCTTTGCGTATTTTTAAAAATTATTTTAAACTTTCAGTATGTGGCTACATAAACAGAAATGTTGGTCCCAGACTAGACTTATATTATTTAAATTCACTTGAAAGCTTTCCCATATGAACATTGCAAAATGCTGCTCCAAATTAGTTGGTTAGTGCTCTTAAGCATTTAAGAGATATTTGCTCAGCTGGCATATGACTTAATGCAGAGAGTGGTGTTATTGAACAGTCAGTTAGGCAGGTCAGAAGAACCAGAAGAGAACTTGAGAGCTTACTTCCCAAATATCCATTTTGGTTAATATTTATTATTTTACAATATTTATAATTCATCCCAATCCTGTTAACATCAACTCTGCAGACTATTGATTAATTGGTATCATGTATTTCTTTTCAGCGGTATTAACATCAATACCAAAAACATCAGTAGAACTTAAATTAGGTCTTATTCAACCCCCGCCCCCCAAAATTGGACTTACAGTACTGGGTTTCATTGCATTTTTAAAGAAGAGATATAAGTAAATTGCCATGTTAGCCACACAATATGACTAATGCTACAATTAAAACCATATTTGTACAGTACCCTATAATTGTTCCATTTTGGGATGAGGTTATTAACATCTATTAACTCAACTTTGATGCATGATTTAATATTCTGATAGTCATATTCTTTTGAACTAAATTCTTGCTGTGTAGAAATTGGCAGTGAACAAAGAAACACCCTGTTTTAAAAGCTAAAAGGTTTATTCTTCAGCATTGAACAAATTTACATGTTCAAGGGAAAAAAATCCACACGAGAGCCCAGAGAAATTGCTTTTTCTGGGTGTTCCCCACCATGGAAGAACTACATGTAATAGGCTGCCTATTTCTATAGATAGAAAGTGGTGAAAGTAAAGACAGCTTTTAAAGGTGGCCTAGCGAGGCTTTTTGTTATTAGCAATAATTATATATCCAAATGGCAAATCAATCAATTTCTCTCTTGTCCTCTTCCCTATTTCCTGTTTTTCCCTCTTTTTACTGTCCTGCTGAACTTCAGCCAAGCAGTGTTGGTAGATCGGACAATGTACATTGCAGGGCAGCTGGGTATGGATCCCTCAGACGGGCAACTCGTTCCAGGAGGAGCAAAAGAACAAGCCCACCAGGTGAAATGTGGCCTCACTTATTCCACTAGCAAGTCTGATATTATTATTAATGTAACATTTGTTGTATGAAAAGGACATATCTATCCACAAAGTTCAAAATAGAGGGTCTGGTGTAATATTTCGCTATGGAAATAGTCATTATTTCAGCTCAGCAATAAGGTGAAATTACAATTAGTGTAATTAGAATTAATTGTAATTTCAAAGAAAAGACATTCTGTCAGCAAAACAATGAGCGAGTGAACCAAATCCCCCCACCCCTCTAGTGTCAAATATTTAGTAGCTTCTGCCTTCTTACTTCCATTAACAAAATCATGAACTTTTATTGGTCAACCAAAGTTTGACATACTGTAAAACCGAGTGACCTTCCTGATATTGTGGCTAGTGAAAGGGCATTTATGCTGGCTGACTTCAGCATAAAAGATAAAGGAAAGAAGCCCACGTTCCATATCCTGGTTTTTTTATGGCCAAACCTTCCAGGGGCAGGAGAGTATTAATATATCTTTCCTAAAGTTTTTGAGACATTAAATGGTAAAAACCATATGGTGTTTGTGTATGTGTTGGCTGCCACAATAGACTGTTAAATTAAAAGATGTACATATAAAATGCATCCAGGAGCACACGGAGCAAATGAGTTGAGTGTGCAAGAGACAGATCCAGTTAATCCTATGTCTTCCAGGAACCATTGCAGACCTGAACACCTGCCCTTTTCCATACTATTTCTGTATTTCAAATTGTGTTTCCTTCAGGACTGACACTGCAAATTGGCCTGTGAATGTAATCCTTAGAGAGCAGTCCAGCATGAGGAAAAAAAATACCCTGCTATGTAATTTCCATTTGTTGCAAACGTACTTTCCTATCTTGAGAAAGTTGATTTCAGTGAACTCAAGTAAATCTCTCTTTGCACTGGGAACTCAGTCACTTAATATTTTCTTAGTATTTTTTCATTATCATAGGCTGTTTTCCCATGTGTTTCATGATGGTTTACTATGGTGTTTGCATATGATTGCACTGTACCGTCTTCTGAGTTCAAGGGATGACGTGGGTATGTTCAGATAAATCCAACTGTGTTCTCATTAGGCCCTCCGAAACGTTGGGGAGATTCTGAAAGCTGCTGGCTGTGACTACCACAACGGTAAGTTTACACTCAAGTAAATTAGTGAACTTGTCTATACATTTATAGAGGGGAAAAGTGTGCTTTCTCCCTAATTAAGAAAGAATAGCTATTAGTTGATTGTTGTGGATAACTGCTGCAGTGGAACCCTAGCTGTTCCTCCAGTTAATTTATTGTTTGTTTATTTATTGTGTTAAATAAATTTATTTATTGTGTTAAAGCATTGTTTGTTTTATTATGATGGTTTTATTTAAATTTTTTTTTAAATCTCATGAACAATTCTGGACTTCCATGAGGAAAAGTTGTATAGAAATAATGTAATACATAAACATACATACATACATACATACATATATATAGTGTCACTTCTTGGAACAGTGGGTTAATGTTGCAAGTTTTCTGTTTGATAACATTGTTTTGATAATCTTTCCCCTCCAAATTTAGTGATTTTATGGTTTTGGAGGCTGTTAGTACACCTTTTCTTTTTGAAGAGTAATCTCTGTTTTTCATATGACAAGCTGAATTAATGTTCATAACACCTGTAAATCAATCCTTTGGCATTTGGCATCTACTTTTAGGACTAGGTCTTATTATTTAAGCTGCACAGAAGAAAATCCATTGGTTAATAGATAGGTGCCAAGACCACAAGGTATTTTTACTCTTTAAAGAACTTGCATATTGGCTGATTATTTTCTACTACTGAAGTCTCATATTTCTGTTAGCAGTTCCATCTCTACATGGGATGTAAGCAATACGTAGTACATGGGATTTAGGAACTGAATTTATGAAAAAGAACAGAGGTTCCATTAAAAAAAGGAATGGTAGTGTCCTGGGATGCACAAGACAGGAGCTGCTGGGATGAATAAATTTAGGGTGACTGGGATGGAAACTGGTACTGGATGTCACAGGAACAGTTTAAAGCCCGTTTCATCAAAACAAAACAGAAAATCTGATTTGGTGCAAGCTCTGGATTGTGCATTAAATTCCCAAATCTGCTGATCCTGGATCCTAGCAGACTCTAGGTTTTAATTGTTGGAAAAGATTTTAAGGATAATAAATCACAAGAGACTCAATAAGGTTTTGTGTGCTTTTTAGGGAATAGAAGTATGTCCATACACAGACCACTTCTCCTGTTCTTAAGAAAGAACAAAGTTGTGCAATTTTTTTCTGGGTCAAGAGTCACATTTGGCCTTTGGATGGTAGGTTTAAGGTTGCACTCCAAAAAGTAATGGTTGGGGCCAGGATGAAACCTAAATTTCACTTCATTAACATTGAAAGGTAATCAAAATTTGTTTCTATGAACAGTTTTCAATCAAGTATCATTGTCCCCTGCTGACAGATGATGATTGATGATGATGATGATGATGATGATATTTTTATCCTGCCTTTTTATGTATAACTCAAGGCGGCAAACACACCTAACACTCCTGCCTCCTATTTTCCCCACAATAACAAACCTGTGAAGTGGACTGGGCTGTGAGAGAGGGACTGGCTCAAAGTCACCCAAGTGGCTTTCATGCCTAAGGGAGACCTAGAACACACTGTCTCCTGGTTTCTAGGCCAGCACCTTAACCACTGCTCTGAATTGACTCTTAGTTTAATTAAAAGCTACTAATTGGTAACAACTTCTGGAAGTCTCTGGGGGCCAAATCCAAGGTTTGGGGAGAATGTGTGCAGCCTTGGGACCATAGATTGTACATCTCTACTGTAGAGTTACTGTTCACAATCTGTTGCCCTCCAGAGATAAGGCATTTAAGTTTTAATAAGGATCTAGGCATCTTGATCCACAGCCATGCAGGCTGAAAGATTATAGAAGCTGAAGTCCAACACATTTAGAGACCACAAAAAGATCCTGTCAAATCCATCCCAAATGGGGTGGCCTGTTTATAAAAAAGAAACACAGTTCCAAGTCACTTGCTATACAAGACACTTGCAACACACTCCTATGCAGGTTTGCTCAGAAGAAAGTCCCACTTACTCTGAAGTTAATATGCATGAAGGTTCAGTCTTAATTTTATTAATTTGTCAAATCTTTATAGCTGGGTGATTTGAAGCATAATTAAAACAGGGTTTCCTCACTTTTAGTGGTAAAGACTACCGTACTGATGACTGACATGAAGGATTTTAATGACATTAACGAAGTCTACAAGCAATGTAAGTATGGCTGGTGGCTGCATATTAATTCAATTTCTTTACTAGATTTTGTATTCGGACGAAGATAAATCCAAAGATGTCCTTATGCTCCTGCCAGCATTCTGCAACCAGGAACTTATGTTTATATTTCATAGAACAAAGTTACAGAGTTATAAATGGAAGCTTGTTATTGTATATTGATTTAGCTCATTGGACTGTACTGCATTCAGTTCAGTTTATTACGCTGGTGTGAAATATTCTGGCCTTCTCTATAACATCACTGTGGAAAGGATTATCTCTATGAGAAACACTCCAGTTACATTATGTGACCATAAGCCATGGAGCATTAAACTACTGAAAATCAAATTGTGTGAGTTCTCTTGTGCCTAGTTCCATCTTGGACTGTGATACTTAAGAGTAAAATCTTGTAGGAATTGTAGGAGGAGATCCATGTATAGTTGCAAAAAAATCAGGAATCTAGTAGCACCTTTTCTGACTAACCAATTTGATTCAAGGGCATCAGCTTTAGTAAGCTGCATCTTGCTTCATCAGATGCAATTGCCAAAGGTGCCACCAGACTCTTGATTTAGTGGAAAATCCATATCTCTGCTTTGAAGGTACATTTTTTCCAGCAACTGTGAGGATTTAGAATATATTTCTACACCTCACAGTTCTTAGTTAACAATCTTTGGCTATAAAAATATTATTTGGGTATATATTGAACTGGAGAAGTTTATGAATTATATTATCTCAAAGTACAAAGGAACACCAGAACTTGACTAGAGACTGTAAAGGAATATTTGCATTGTGTAATCTGTTAAAAAACATGTAAATACTTTGATTTGGCTATAGCTAGAAAATGCTTTATATGGGGCTAAACTCTGTTGCTTGCATCTAAAAATCTTCATGGTTTGTAAGACCTCACTTGGCATTATTCATACCTTGCAAACACATTTGCCTAGGAACATGCTTTCTTTTGAAAAAATGGGGATTTAAATTCTTAGATTGCTGATTTACGTATCTACTTGCATTCTACATGGACCTATGTAGAATCAGTGGGCTTTTTATTTGCCTAACTTGATAACTTGCTGTTTAGTATAGTCCAAGTAAATATAATTCGCTACTTGAACGGTCAGTTGATTAATTGGAGATATCTGTCTACTCCATATAGTCTTCAAGTGCAACTTTCCAGCTCGCGCAGCTTACCAGGTTGTGGCTCTTCCAAAGGTAAGTATCGGTTCTTATTTCTATAAAAACTGGTAATTTAATGTTTTGCAGGTTAGAAAAAAATGCAAACACTTTTTTTGCATTTTTGTTATGTTCTTAAACATAACTTAGAAGTTCAGAGACTGGCCACTTCTATTATCAGTGCAATCAGTGCAATCTTGTCTGTGTTTATTCTGAAATAGCTTGCTGTTTTTTCTGCATCCTCTCACTTGAATTAAGGGAGTTTCTCTAATTTGCACAAAACATAGTATTTTCTGCTACCGCAACACCGCCATTGGATAACTCCTGGATTTTCACCACAAAGAGAGGATTAAATCCATCTAAAGGGATGCAAACTTTAGGGGAGAGGGGCAAGAGAGAAAGAAATGGGGAGGAAACCAGATCAGTGCACTCAGTCAGGCTGGTGCACTATACCCTCTGCTGTTTAACATTTACATGAAGCTGTGGGCAGAAGTCATCAGGGGCTCCAAGGTGCATCTATCAATAAAGTATCAATATACTGATAATATTCAGTTTTATCTTGCTACCCCAGACCTGGCTGGAAATGCTAAATTTATGTCCCAGGGCCTGGAGTCTGGATGGGACAAAACAAGTTAAAGGCCAACCCAAGTAAGATGAAGTTGCTGTTGTTTGCCATCCTTTGTGGGCTCCAGGGTTTTCTAAGTTGGTGGCACTGCCCCTTAGGAAGCAGACCTGTGACCTAGGCTCATAGTTCTGCTGGATGCATAGAATGGCCAGGAGGACCGTCACCTAATTCCAGCTGGTACGTTGGCTGTGTACGTGACTGGACCTACCATGACTCGTGTCCTTACCCCTACCTGATTGGACTTCTGTAAATAAACTCATGTGGCTACCTTTGAAGACCATACAGAAACTGCATTTGGTTCAATTTATTATTAGTACTTATTAACTAGTCCTTGTTGTATTGAACATGATTACACATATTTTGCAGGCAGGTGCAGTTTGAAATGTTAGTTTCGACTATGAAATCCTATATGGCTTGGTACCAAGATACCCTCAGAATTCTTGCTCCAGTTGGTGTCAGTCTCAGATGAGTCTTCTAGGAGAAACTGGTAGTGATGCCCCATTTTCATGAAGTGAGGGGCTTGAGGCCAGAAAATGTTGCTTTTTGGTGATGGCACGGCCTCTCCCGGAAGGGAAATTGATCCTTTAATAATAGCCTTCCAGAAACTGATTGAAACCAAGCTTTTCTGGAGGGCCTGTGGAGAGTAATTGTCACCAGTTTTGGTTTATTATTTAATTTGGTTTGCATATAACTCTGGCTTTGTGACATGAGATTGATTACTTTAGGGTTTACTGTGGATGTTTTTAATGTTGTCGTGTATTTTCTATCCTTGTAACCTGCTGAAGAATTGGGGTTAAATACATTAAACCAGGGTCAATATTGACCCCCAAGGGTTGATGGGTCTATCCAAGTGGTCAATGTTGTTGTTGTTATTATTATTCATAGTACTATTGGTTAAAGTAGTATTTATTAAATTATTTTCATATAATAAAT